CGGTTGGGTCTTAGCCTGACTACTCAAGCAGGGGGTTTGTCTCACCTTCTGGCCCCTCGATGTTCATGCCCTTGACTCGAAGATTCTTCCTGGCTCTCCCAGACTCTCCGCGAATTTCTCCAAGCCTTTGAGCGTTCACTGCTGCTTCTGCTACCACCACCACGACTACGACTACGACAACTTCTCCTCATCCTGCCCAACTCTTGGCTCTGATGGCAAGGAGATGAAGAAAGGGGGGGGGGGGGGTGTTCCGGAAATAAAGGGACCCCAATAACGTACCCCCTGTTTCGGAAACCCTCGTATCCCTCAAGCGCACAAGAGCTCGAAGCAGTAAGCTCTCACAACACAAGCCCTACACCAAAAGCAACGAAAGCCCCGTAGCCCACCAACGCAGGCAACCCCAAGGAATGCCTTGAAAACTGGCGTCTGCGGCGCACTTTGGATCCTCCTGAGTTTTGGGGTTTAGGGTTTAGGGTTTAGGGTTTAGGGTTTAGGGTTTAGGGTTTAGGCCTCAGGCTTTATGAAGGCTTTAGGGTTGTCTGGCTTTGAAGGTTTCAACTTTTACCGTTTAGTTTGCTGGATACAGGCCAGGGTTTTCGTACGCTTGAAAAACGAAAACGCCGTACTAGTATAGGAACATTAGAGTAACAGCATAGTAAACACACAATTACAAGGTGGCCCCTAAACCCTAAACCCTAAACCCTAAACCCTAAACCCTAAACCCTAGGCCGATAACTCATGCGTGCGTACCGAGTACCCTCTTGCATGTTCTTGGTGGGACATTTGTGCTCTTAGGGGTTCGCACTGGGGAAGTGCAGAGATTTGTGCTTGGAAGCCTTTTTCTTTAGGGCTTCGGGTTTAGGGTTTAGGGTTTAGGGTTTCGGCCTTTACAGAGTCTTCCTACTGCAAGCTGACGCAACCACCCGCGCAAAGAAAAACCTCAGTTCTACATGGACAGCTCTCAAGTGCCAGGTCCCGTATTGAACCCCACATAGCTCCCTAAACCAGCGACCCTTTACAAGGGTCCCTTTAGGGCCTTCGGGACCTTTCGGGCTTAGGAGTGGTTTAGGGTTTGGGGTTTAGGGTTTAGGGTTTAGGGTTTAGGGTTTAGGGTTTAGGGTTTAGGGTTTAGGGTTTAGGGTTTAGGGTTTAGGGTTTAGGGTTCAGGCTTAAGGGTTTGCTCTCTTCAGTGCGCCCTTGGTCCTTTCAGGATCGAGTATTTGCGGAACTCCAAAGCCCCTAAACCCCTAACCCCTCTAAATCAACCCCCTAAACGAAACTCCAGAAACCCTAAACCCTAAACTCTAAACCCTAAACTCTAAACCCTAAACCCTAAACTCTAAACCCTAAACCCTAAACCCTAAACCCTAAACGAAACCCTAAAAAAGGCAACCCAGGTTCTGCTGCTGCTCACGCAAGAGTTCGCGTGCCTCCTGGCAGTGGAGTTGGGTCCATCAGATTCTTGTGGATTTAGGGTTCCGGATCTAGGTTTCATGGTTTAGGGTTTAGGGCAACACTAGTAACAGCATGTGAGGGTCTAGGTTTTAGGATTTCGGGTTTAGGCTTTAAGGCTTTTGGTTATTGTAGGAGTAGCATGTGCTAAGTAGAACGAAGGTAACTGCCACAATACTCGACTACACCGTGCTAGTTATGCACGATGTACGATGCCATGGATTCGCCTCTTCACGATACGAGCCTAGGGATTGACCCATTGTTCCCCATATAAAACCGTTCACTTGCACTACACTACACTGTATTATATAGTGTAGTCGACTGAACTAGGCTTTTCTATTCTACTACTTCATAGTTCACGACAACATATACTCACACTGTCATGCAAATATGGTGCAGTAATCTTCGACACGTTTCACCCAGCTGAGACATCCAGGCAGTCAGCAAACCCAGTGTTGGGGGGCACGCGACTTAAGGGTTTAGGGGGGCTCCCGCTGCGCCAGACCCTGCGACATCATCTTTGAAAGTTCGCCGGCACTTGTTAGCGGGGTTACAAGCAAGCCAGCTGCAGTGATGACACAACATTGCCCTAAACAGGCTGCATAGAACCCAGTTTTCGTCCCACCCCCCCTGAACCTCCAAGAAACTCTCCATCCCCCATCCCCTCATGAGGGTTTCACACTACCCTGAACCCTAAACCCTAAACCCTAAACCCTAAGCGCCTGAACCTCCAAGCCACTCTTTTAGTCTCCCCTCATGGCACCCGGAAATTTCCGTGATCGGAATGTCGCGAGGCGGTTTCCAACGCACGGCTCACCTAAGCCACACGTGAATGGGGCTGAAGAGGGTCGAATGTTGTCCTGCCTTCATGTAAAAGGCAAAGTAAACCCTAAATCCTCAGGCTTAAACCCTATACCCTGAACCCTAAACCCTAAACCGTAAACCCTAAACCTGAGTAATCACCAAGGGGCTGTGAGGGGTAGGAGGGTTTGAGGCTGTGGATCAGGACGGAGGGAAAGGTGGCCTGTCCCCTACGTGACACCCGTAAGCTACAAAATGTAAACTTTGCAAATACCTGGAATTCTAGGGTATAAAATGGGGTTTAAGGTTTCGGGTTTAGGAGTTTAGTGTTTAGGATGGCTTCAGCTCTGGGCAGCTAAGGCATTAGATATCCTGTGAGGGAAGCTCTGACTCAATCACGTGGCTTCTTCCGGCATTATACGTACTATGCCAGATGACTGCTAGGATGACTCTTTGGGGACACTACACGGGCGACTCTCCCCGAAACTTCGGTTTAGGGGTTAAGGGTTTAAGGTTTAAGGGTTTAGGGGTTTGAGGACTTAAGTGTGTGAGGGTTTAGGGTTTAAGGGCTTTGGGTCCACCATGAAACTCCCCAAGTACAGCTGCCCACAATTCCGAAACCCTCAACCAAAACCCTGAACCACTTCCTGTGTGCCTAAACAAAGAAAACCAGAACAGGTAGCTTCGGTTTAGGGTTTAGGGTTGGGGGTTTAGGGTTTGGAGGCATCTAGGGGTTTCGGGGACTAGGGTTTCGCGGGAAAACTTACGGATGGAGGGGAATACCCTTCCGCTTAGGCTCCACCACCCTTCCGGAAGCCGCGCAAAACCCCCCCCCAATAAAAACAGAACGCCTAAAGCCCGGAAAACACCCTTCGGGCTAGGGATTAGGGTTCATAGGCTTTAGGGCACTTAAAGCTTCAGAACTGCTAGGATTTAGGGCTTATAGATCAGGCCCCTAAACCCAAACCCTAAGCCCGTAAACCCTCAACCCTAAGCCCTAAACCCTAATCCCCAGACCGTAGACCAGAAAGACAGCTTTTTCTAGACCCGGCCTCCCAACGCTGTCGCTGCTCGGAGACCTCCACATCGGGTTCCAGCTCGGGCCTTGGCTTAGCATATAAAATCTCGCTAAATGCAGGACCAGAAAGATTCATATCGGAGAATATAGGTTAATGTATTATAATATACAACAATGCAGAATAACGGTAGTATAACATCGAAAAATCAATTATAACATACCAGTAGCATGATAGAGTATCGTAGAGGATAATCTTTCAGGATGAGGGTCTTGAGGGCCTCTGGGTTGCGTCTGCGGGTTTGGAGATTCTGTGGCTTCAGGGCTTAGTTGCGACAGCGTTTGAAAGTATTGAGCGTTTACCCCCTCACCACTACATCTCTTGGGGTTGAACTCTTCCGGCCTCTGATGAAAGGTATGAAGTTCGGGCAAATGTTTAGAGTTTGCGGTGTAGGCGAAGACCGAGGTGCTGTAACATACCAAGGTCTCCTCCAGTAGCCTTCGGAAGATCAGATTCTTGCTTGTTCTGCATCTTCATGGTTGGTTCAAAGAAATAACAACTGAGGAGCCAAACCAAGCAGTCATAGGCATAGGCCCCTTAGTATGTTTCGAGGGAAGTTATTCAGAGTTAACTTATGTACTCACCCACCCCTCAGCATGCAGCGGAGCATCTGTGGTTCCTCCACACGCTGCACGCTCATGGATACCGGCGGCGTCCTTAGCTGAAATCTAAGTAGGTTCTAAGTAGACTCAGACTTAGGGGTTATAAGTAACCATGAACCTCCAAGTAAAGCCTTGAACTCCGCACGCGTAGCATAACTTCTCGCTTCCGAGCGTCTGTACACGTACCTCCTGAGTTCCACGCCTGGGCCACTAGGTTGCCGAAGCTTGCAAAAGGTTCAAGAATTCTGGGGCTTAGGGCACTTATGACCCCACGTATATATATATATATATATGCACTTATAAGCCCCCTAAGTCCCCCTACTTACCACCCTAAACTAACCCTAAACCCTAAACCCTAAACCCCAAACCCTAAACCCCAAACCCTAAACCCCAAACCCCAAACCCTAACCCCTAAACCCTAAACCCCTAAAACACAAAGGAGAAGAAAAAAACAAAAAAAGACGCTCTGCCAGCCAAGGACAAGTCGATGTAGCGGGCCCGGGCCTCCAGGAGGCAGCCTCCTGCCTCCGCAGCATGCTCCTGACGTTGGGGGCTTGGGGGTTTGGGGTTTAGGGTTTGGGGTTTGGGGTTTGGGGTCTAGGGTTTAGGGTTTAGAATTTAAGGTTCAGGGTTTAGGGTTGGGTTTAGGGTTTAGCTTGTTTTGGGGGGGGGTTGCTCAAGATGAACACTAGAGTGCTTTGGGGGTAGTTAAGGGCGTCAAAACACCCAATCATATTTCCAAGCTGGCTTCGTTGGGTTAGGGGAGGTGGTTTTTGGTTAGGAGATGTAGAGGTCCTCTGTTTCTTTTACGAACTTTCCTGTTGAGCTTTCCGCCTTCGGGTCTTCTGTTTGCTGAGAGGGTAAGGGCTGAAGAGGTTTCGTCCTTTTGGGCTGTACCGTCTAGAGTTTGGAAGCTTTGGGGGGTGAGGATTGGTGCGTTCTGCTTTTGGTTTGGTACTGTCCCCAACCCCGGTCACCTCAATGCACAGAGTTTTAGTGGGCATGCGATAGTGTCAACTAGAGTTCTTCAGCGCTGCCGCAGAAACTGCAGGGTTTAGCGCTCCTCCTCCTACTCCTCCTCCTCCACGCCCACGCCCACGCCCACGCCCACGCCCACGCCCACGCCCACGCCCACGCCCACGCCCACGCCCATGCCCACGCCCGCGCTCCCGCGCTCCCGCGCTCCCGCGCTCCCGCGCTCGCACGCTCCCACGCTCCCACTCTCCCACTCTCCCACTCTCCCCTTCTTCTTATTCTTCTTCTTCTGCTGCTGCTGCACCATGACTTTCGCTATACTGTTGCAGTTTGCAATGCTTTTGGCTTTTGTGCTGCCGTCAACGGTCTGTTTCTTTGTCCTCCAAGATTGCTGTTTCAAGGCTCCGTTGCCTTCTACCTGCTTACACTCTGGGGGCCATGCCCACCGAGTTCTATACACAAACCCACCCCAAGCAAAACCATACCAGAACTCCACTAAGGATTGGACACCCGAAGCAACAATACAGCATACTACTATAGGAAAAGAATGTACCCCTAAGGGTCCATGTACCTAATTATCGTAAACTTGGGCCCCAAAGGTCTTTATATAGGAGGTACTGCAAGGCAAAAGTATTCCATATTTCGGTACATGGACCCTCAGGGTACTCTGGCATAGTTTTACCATGGTCAGGCCCGACTTCGTGCGTTGGGATTGATGACCCTCAACCCTAAACCCTAAACCACATAGCCCTGAGTTCCTGAGGATTCCTTGATCATACTAAGACATGATGTATCATTCTCTAGTATATAGTGCTGTGCATTAATACTGCTGAATGCTAGCAGCATAGTAGTAGCAATTAGTAATCAGTACTAACACCATACGACTTCGAATCGGACCTCTGTCCTCAGGGACCGAGAGTTCCAGTAGGATGTCCCGGCGCTCTTCGGCGAAGATGTCGGGTATCGTCACGACGGCATTGTGCTCCCCGTCGCGCTCCACTTGAAACGGTGTGTTTACCTCTTACTCCCACACACGGAGCCCCCCAAAAAAAGGCAGGCACTTCTAGTCTTAGTATGCTTTGGACGGTACTTAACCCCAAGAAGCTTGAGATGAGCTACTCAGACCCTTCGGACAAAAATGGCTGTTGAAACTTCGTCGGCCCCACCAAGCGAAGCCTTCCTACTCTGACGCCTGCAGGTACCAAACCCTAAACCCTAAACCCGACACCCTAAACCTGAAACCCTAAACCCTAAACCCTAAACCCTAAACCCTAAAATTGATGCAGCCCAGGTGGCATCTTTCAGCACAGCACGGCACTTTATCGAAAGCTGCACCTGCTGTGCCACGATACTGGCGAGGCCGCTCACCACGCCGGCAAAGGCCTGGGATAATTCTAAGGGTTTAGGGTTTAGGGTTTAGGGTTTAGGGTTTAGGAATTAGGGTTTAGGGTTTAGGAATTAGGGTTTAGGGTCTAGGGTCTAGGGTTTAGGGTTTGGGGTCTAGGGTTTAGGGTTTAGGTCTTAGGGCTTCGGGTTCACATACAAGCGTGTATATGTGTGTGCGTGATCTTTGTTGCTGTACCACATCATGTGAAACCTCAGTTAAGCCCTACACCCCGCGATCAAGAGGCGTTGCCTACAACATGATTGTGCCTGCACGATTCTCACGAAGGGAGAGCTTTACCTGCTGCTGCTGCGTGAGGGATTCGGCTCAGACATGTAGAAAGACAACAAGACTGTAAGCTAAAGGCAACCCTAAACCCTAAACCTTAAACTCTAAAGCCCTAAGGTGCAGACTCCCGAAGTCCTAGAATAGCATGGGAGCCTCGGGCACCGCTGCAGTGTTCTCCACGTAGGTGAAGGGAGTGCGTGCCACTTCGGCGATTTCGTTCAGCATCCCCGCGTCATGGTCGACCCCAAAGCCGAAGGCATAAACGCTGCACCCGGCTTTGGCTGCACGCCTGGGTTTAGGGTTTAGGGTGTAGGTTTTAGGGTTTAGGGTTTAGGGTTTAGGGTTTCGGGTTCAGGGTTTAGGGTTTAGGGTTTCCCCCACACCCTGAACCTCCATGTAGGTGTACTTCACCGCACAAGCTGTGAGGCTCAACATGATCTCAAGCCTCGACTAGACCTTCTTGCAAGAACACCAAAAGCCGATGATTCATGGCTTCCCCTACCCCCCTATACTACCCCGCCCCTAGGTCCCCCCCCCTTAAATAACCTTAGTTAGGCACAATCTTTCCATGGGGGAGGAGGGGTAGAAAAGAGGGGCGTAGTAGCGGAACTCATGAATGATATGACACCCCGCCCACATGCTCGAACACCACCATTGCTCGCCATCAAGGCGCTTCAGCATTTGTGGCAGACCTTGGCTGTTGGGGGTTTAGGGGCTCGGGGTTCAGGCCTTCTTGGCAACATGAATTCAGAAAAAAAAACATGCAGTGCACCTTTCCTCACACGACAATTTGTAAACGGTGCCGGGATATTTACTGTAGAAGCCTGCACGGTTACCAGTTAGACCTTCACGATCCCTACACTTGCTTCTGCAGAGCGTCAGGTTGAATGCATCTGCTTGGCCTTCTACAGAGGATTACAGACGGGCTTAGTGGCCTGAAACAAGCAAACCCAACTCCCTATATAAACCCTAAACCGTGTCAACGGATCAAACCGACAAACCTCAAACCGACACGCTCTGGATGTAGGGCTTCGGCTTTCGTTTCCTGCAGGGTTTAGGGTTTAGGGTCTAGGGTCTAGGGTCTAGGGTCTAGGGTTTAGGGTTTAGGGTTTAGGGTTTAGGGTTTAGGGTCTAGGGTTTAGGGTTTAGCGTTTAGGGTTTAAGGTGTAGGACTATTCTCTTATAACTACTCTCGCTTTGAGATCACACGTGACAACCGATTTCCCTGATCCGGCAACCTCGCGGCCTCACCTCGCGACCTCGCGGCCTCACGACCTCACGGCCTCACCTCACAGCCTCGCGGCCGCGTGGTGCAGCTACGGCTGCAACGAGCACTACGACGACGGCTGCAACGGGGACTATGATCACTCCAAGAAATACTATTTTCACTACTACACTCCTTCCACTGCCACGATGCTTGGGCGAGAAGATCGGTCTTGGCCATCGGTCAGCAGAAGAATTGCCGAGACCTTGTTCTTGTGACGCCTCGGCTCTGTTTTTTTTAACATGACTTTGGGGCTTGGGGTTTATAGGGCTTCGGGCGCGCGATCTTTTGAGGCCGCTTCGGACTAGCATCTTTGGCTTTGAGGGGTAACATCCCCGACCGCTGACTCCTGAAAACAACCTGAGACCCTAAAACCTAAAACCCAAACCCTACACCCTGAACCCTAGAACTCACACAACGGTGTAAACCTCCTCTGAACCCCGAGCACGCTACACCCTAAACCCCAAACCCTGAACCCTAAACCCTAGAACGGTGCAGACACCCTGAACCCTGAGCACCCGTGCCTCTGCTCAACGACGTGAAGGCCCAGATCCAGTCCCGAGGCAATGTCAGTGCCGCCCCCTGCCGGATATTAGGGCTTAGGGTTTTGGGGTTTTGGGTTCAGGGTCGAGTTTCGAGTTTTAGGGTTTAGGGCTTAGGGTTTAGGGTTCAGGGTTTAGGGTTTGGGGTTCAGGGTTCAGGGTTTAGGGTTTAGGGTTTGGGTTTAGGGTTTCGGGCGGCTGAAGGTTCAGGGGCTTCGGGGAAAGAAAAGCTACCCAAAAGCCAGTACGGTGAGGTTTGTAGTGTCGGTTTTGGGAGTTGCGGACTCTGATTCAGGGTTTGAGTAATTGTTGTATGCCCCAAAAAATTGCCTCTACCCAAACCCCAAATCAGATCCCCTTTCAAGGAAAAGGACTTCTTTACCCTTAGAACTGCTGGGGTTTAGGATTTAGGGTTTGGGGTTTAGGGTGTAGGGTTTGGGGTTTAGGGTTTAGGGTTTGGGGTTTAGGGTTTAGGGTTCAGGGTGCGCTTTCGGGAGTCCGTGCTGTCGGACGCCGCCTGCAGCCATGCGCAAGGTGGCAACCATGGCTTCGTCCTGGCCTTCCCGGTCCTGCAGTTTCGGATCTCGGGTTTGGGGCTTAGGGTTTAGGGTTTAGGGTTTGGGGTTTAGGGTTTAGGGTTTAGGGTTTAGGGCTTAGGGACTGCACTTCTAAGCCCCCCAGGTCCCCTAAGTAGGGGGGCAAAGTAGACTTATAACTGGGGCTTCTAAGTACCCGTGAACCTCCAAGGAAGCAACTGTCAGAGCCCGGTCCATGCGGCGGAGACGAAGCCTGCGATCAGCACCTCTGGAACAGACATCCCTGAACGCTACAAGGTTTAGGGTTTAGGGTTTAGGGTTTAGGGTTTAGGGTTTAGGGTTTAGGTTTAGGGTTTAGGGTTCAGGGTTAGGGTTTGATCTTGCTTGTTCATAAGCTTTTCGGGGTAGGTTGAAGGTTAGACCAAACAGCAGCATTCGTGTTGAGCTGAGGGAATCGAACTGTCAGGGTAGAAGATACTGCGAAAACTCCCCGTGTAAGGGCTTGCTCGGGTGTTTCTGAAAGCTGAGGAACTCTTAAAACCCTTTAACAATCCGTCCCGTGCCTCTCTGTCATGATCCCCATGTCATGTAAACATAAGGCCTCAACCCCACACCCTGACTCCTGAACCATCAAACCTGAACCCCAAACCCTACACCACAAACCAACCCCGAATTCTTCACCCCAAACCCCGAACCCTTCACCCCAAACCCTAAACCCTAAACCCTGCACCCCAAACCCTAAACCCTAAACCCCAAACCCTAAACCCTAAACCCCCAATCCCTAACCCGCGCCTGAATTGAAAGTGACAATGCTGAGACGGTCAGAGGGTGAGAGCTCATTGATCACGAAGCGCATGGCGGACTTCCTTGGGGGTTGGAAGCCAGCTACGGTCTAGGGTTTGGGGTTTAGGGTTTAGGGTTTAGGGTTTAGGGTTTAGGGTTTAGGGTTTAGGGTTTAGGGTTCAGGGTTCAGGGTTCAGGGTTCAGGGTTCAGGGTTCAGGTTCAGGTTCAGGGTTTAGGGTTCAGGGTTCAGGGTTGTGGGGTAAGCAGGGAGCAGAATGACCCCCTTGGACACCAATCCATCGAAGGCTTGCCCTGGGCCTCGGGGGTTAGGGTTGGGAGCGTAGGGTGACTTATCTCATATAGATCCCTAGTGGCTGCACGATCCCGAGAATGTAGAAAGACGCCGGAGCCAGCATTAAACATCCAGGCAGATTCCCCAAACCCTACGCTTCAAACCGTAAATCTTGGGGTGCTCCCCCTTGCGCTAACACTCCTCAACGGGGATTGCAATGGGAATCTATATTCCCCACTAAGGACTCCTAAGGACTGATAGCATACGGGGGAACATCCCAGCCTACATAAATCCCACATCGGCCCAGACTGCCCCCTCCAAAACCCAGCTGAGGGTCAGATCATCCAGCTTGTTGGCTCCACCCATAGACCCAGATACGTCCAGCACACAGACCTCAGAGAACCGCACATTTTGTGGGCTGCTGGCTGGGATGTCACCCCTCATACTAACAGTCCCTGATAGGGATCATTATAATACCCCTATTATCATCCCATCAAGGACTGCTAGAATAAGGGGGCAGCATCCCGAGCTGCTGGCAAGTTGATTTTGGGGTTTAGGCTTAGGGTTCAGACTCAAACGATCTTTAGTTGTTGCAGTGGTGGCCTTGCATACTCTTGCTTGTGGAAAGGTGGAACTGTGACGAGCTCATATTCTGCAACCCTCTCGGGCATGTCCTCGGCTTAAGGAGCGCATTGAGAGCGCAGGGGCCCCTCTTTTCAGCTACTTTCGGAACGACTCGGAGCCTGCAGCTAGGCACAACCCGGGCACTGAGCCCTTGAACCCTTGGACCCTTATACACCTAAACCCTTAAACAAAACCTTATACCCCTAAATACCCCTAAACCCCATAACCCTGAAACCCAAAAACACCTTAAACCCTTAAGCCTAACCCTAAACCCCTGGGTGTACCCTTTGGAAGCCTTTTGTTGGCCTTTGGGATTTCGAAGGCCCATTCCCCCCGAAACCAGAAGCTCCCAACCCCTAAAGTCCACGAAGCTACCGAAAGCCTTGAGAGTTTCCGTAAACTCTTAAACCCCAACACCCCGAACCCTCTAAACCCTTCAAACCCTGTAATTGAACCCTTTTTAACCCTTTGTTAACCCTTTTTTAACCCTTTTTAACCCTTCTTTTTACACTTTTTAAACCCTTTAAACCCTTTAGACCCTTCAGACCCTTCAAACCCTTTAAACCCTTCAAACCCTTTAAACCCTGTAAACCCTTTAAACCCATGTAAACCCTAAACGCTAAAACCCTTAAACCCTTTAAACCCTAAACCCGTTAAACCCTTAAGCCCTTAAACCCAAAACCCTAAACCCTTAAACCCTAAACCGAGCCCTAAACCCCCAAACCCCTAAACCCCTTCACCCCTAAACCCTAAACCCTAAACCCTAAACCACTCTAAACGCTTTTAGACCTCCAACCGCCCAAAAAGGCCCTCCTTGCTCTCGGGGTCCAGGCCAGGTCCATAGGCTTCCGCTGCGGCGTGGTATTCGCCGCGGCAGGAGCCGCCTTTTGCAGCAGGAAGGGGGTTTAGGGTTTAGGGTTTAGGGTTTAGGGTTTAGGGTTTAGGGTTTAGGGTTTAGGGTTTAGGGTTTAGGGCTTGGGATCCAGGGTTTCGGAAAGGTCTAGGGTTTGGGGTTCAGGGTTTAGGGTTTAGGGTTCGGGGTTTAGCGTTCAGGGTTTGGGGTTCGGGGCTTGGGACTTGTAGACTCCTACCGTGCATAATTGCTATGTTACTACATCAGCTAGGTTACTATCTCACTGCAGTACCTCAATCAGTATATAACTATATCACTGTGTTTACTCCATTTCTCTCAGCTACTCTAGATATATCACTCTAGATGAACGAATTCTCGACTACTCTATTTTGCTCTGTTGACTCTATCACTCTGTTGCTCTACTCTACTTCTCTGTTCACTCCATTGTGATACCAGCTTTAAAAAAAGAAAAAAAGCCATTCTACGATTGTCCTACGTTACTCTAAAAACCCTAAACCCTAAACCCTAAACCCTGAAGAGCAGCCTGCACAGTGACAAGACCGAAGATGGTCTGCGCTGAGTTCTTGGGAATGGCTGAGTACCTCAGGCTTTCAGGGTTCAGGCCCTAAGGCTTCGGGGCTTTAGGGTTTAGGGTTTTAGGGTTTACGGTTTAGGGCTTAGGGTTTAGGGTTTAGGGCTTAGGGCTCAGGGTTTAGGATCTTGGTGCCTGCTACTGCCAGTACACGAACCCAACTTCTGGGAGTCAGAGAGCATTTGGAGAAGCCAGGCTAAACGTCCACAGCTTCCCCTAAACCAAGGATCAACACGCTCTGAAATCCGAGGCCCGAAAGCCCCTAACCCATCAAGACATCGGAAGATGCTACAAAGGCTTAGGGCTGTGCGAGAAAGAACACAGGAACCCAACGCAACAAAAAAAAAAAAAAAACACACACACACACACACACCCAAGAACAATGAGACGGTTCCAGGCTGCTCCACGCGAGTGCTCAGTGACAGGGTGCCTTCCTGAAGGGTTTCAGGTTTAGGTATGGGGGATTTCGTTTAGAGTTTAGGCTTCAGGGTGTAATTGGGGTTTAGGGTTCAGGGTTTAACAGAATATCTTAAGATTGGGGAGGCTGGGTCCATCCAACCCTACAGCTGATTTGTTTGTAGCCTTGAGGTCTCCCAAGTAGGGCGTTGCTGCAAGTCTTGGGGCCAAGAAGCCCTGGAATTAACTCAGGTCAAGCAGCAAACGCTTCACAAACTCCAGATTCCCACAACTGTCAATCTCTGATAAGGGTGTCGAGGGAATGCCATTCTAAACTTTGCTTCCAAAACAAAGCAACTGACCTTTAGGTATTTCGGGTGTCCGAAAACTTCCCATGTCCTCACCTAAGACCACACACCAACTCCCAATCTACAGACCCTAAACCTCCACTCCCTGAGTCGATTGCTTAGGGGGGGGGATTAGCCTCGCATCTCGAGGCCGACACCATAAGCCCCACACCCCAGGTCCCCAAAACTCCAAACCCTAAACCCCCTAAACCCCCTAAACCCCATAAACCCCCTAAACCCCCTAAACCCCAAACCCCCGAAACTCTAAACCCTAAACCCCAAACCCTAAACCCTAAACACCCTAAAAACCCAAAACACCCTCTGTGGTCAAGTTGGGCGCCTGGGCGACGTCGGGATCCGGCTCAGCGGCGGTGGCCGCTGGCGTCGGGAGCCTCATCTGGGGACGACAAGCTTGAGGGCATTTAGGGTTTAGGGTTGCAGGGTGCATATTTAGGGTTTAGGGTTTAGGGTTTAGGGTTTAGGGTTTAGGGTTTAGGGTTTAGGGTTTAGGGTTGTCGGGTAAAGGGCTCTTGGAAATGACATACCTTAGTCATACTTCTACGCAGCCCTCTTCAGGGCACTTCTATCCCGAACCTAGAAGTACCCATGAACCTCCTCCAAGCACACAGGAAAATGTTAGGGCCCAGGGCTTGGCAGCCTGGACAGAAGAACTAGGGTTTAGGGTTTAGGGCTTAGGGCTTAGGGCTTAGGGCTAAGAGCTTAGGGCTTAGGGCTTAGGGCTTAAGGTTTTGGATTTTGGGGCGGTTTGAAGGTTTTAGGGTTTAGGGTTGTGTTTGCGGCCCCTCTGAAGCTTAAGCCCCCCAAAACCAATTCCGACTATTCCAACTACTGGTCGGTCACCCTCTCACTGCCAGCGGCTCGTCATCATCACGGAAGTCGACCGTGGCCGGCCGCCGCCTAACAGGTGAGACCAAGGGTCTCTTTTGGAGGAGGGATGAATCTTGGGCCCGTAGGTAATGGTTGGTCACAACAATAAGAACATACTTCTAGCAATAAGAGGAATGCTACAATCACAAGAACAACAGGTGCTGATTGGTGACCTTCAAAATGAACAAGATCAACCATTATAAAAAAAAAATAAGACAATGACAACAAAAATATACTTGTTTTCCTACACAAGACCTGCTTTGACGTGTTTGGCCGGTCCGGATACTGAAATATGGAGTAGAAACTATGCGCACCATTACGGAAAAAAAAAAAAAAAAAAAAAAAAACGTATACCGAAAAAAACTCGAGCATCGACCCAGACTGCAACCAACAAATCTCAAACCCTAAACCTTTCACGGGCTCTGCGGCTGCAACAAGGGTTTGGAGTTATGGGTTTAGTACCCACCCTAAATCCCAGACTTGGGAGAGCCACTGTCAAAACAGAAGGGTGAGGCGAGCTCAGAACAGGCCAGGCAACCTTTGGGTTCAGGGTTTAGGGTTTAGGGTTTAGGGCTTAGGGCTTAGGGCTTAGGGGTTAGGGCTTAGGGTTTAGGGGGCTTGGGGGTTTGGGTGTAGGGTTTAGGGGGTTTAGGGGGTTTAGGGGGTTGGGGGGTTTTGGGGTTAGGGTGGAATTAGGGTTTAGGGTTCGGGGTTTGGGGTTTGGAGTTTGGGGCTTAGGGTTTCGGGCTTTCGGCGCTAGGACATGAGAACCTGAAAAAAACAGGCTGGCAAGCAAGTAGTCGGATCTTTGTCAACACAAAACCCTGACCCCTAAACCCTAAACCCTAAACAGTACACAAGAGCTGGGAGGTATGGACACAATACCCGAACCCCCAGGCATCGTTGTTCAACCTGCGTTTAAAGTATCTTTGGGACAGGACAACTCCTCCCTACGCAAGGATGCCTCGGGAAATGGATATCTCGGATTCAGTCTTTGCAAGGGGAGTGAGCATTACATGCCAAACGTTTGAACCAAGAACAAGACTCTACCCTAACCCCTCGACCCTAAACCCGAATCAAGCCCTAAACCGTACAAAAAAAACCCAACCCTACCCCAAACTCTAAACCCTGCAAACCCTAAACCCCAGAACTCTGAAGCCTTAAACCCCCATATGCCTAAACCCTAAACCCTAAACCCCATATACCCTAAAAGCCCTAAGCCACGAAACTGGATCCGAAGCACCTCTGATGTTGGGCTTGCAGCGCGGTCCACGGACTCGGAGCATTTGCGGGGTTCAGGGTTTAGGGTTTAGGATTTAGGGTTCAGGGTTCAGGGTTCAGGGTTCAGGGTTTAGGGTTTAGGGTTTAGGGTTTAGAATTTTGGTGTTTAAGTTTTATGCTTACCAAACAAGGCCCCATCTTGGAGGGCACCCCATCAGCCGTGCTTTCCAGCCGGCTGAGGGCTACCAGGCTCCGTTTGAGCAGGGTGTGTTTCTTGCGAACCCCAGTATTTGGTTTAAGGAAGATCATAACATATGGTGGTCTACCGTATTAGGGGGTACCTTATTGCGGTCCTTACTATAAGGGGATGCTACTACTTGAGGGGTCTATATTACGGCCCTTATGATCGAAAACCCCCATGCTTGGCCCACATTGCTACCGCATAGTAACGACCCAGGATTCGTTCGTGGCTTCAACTTGCAGCTCAGGGCCTGCAGAAATCCAGGGCCAAGCATCCTGATCCTGAAAACCTGGGCATCCTAATCCGACAGCAACCTGGCCCTCTGCCACGATTTGCGCGTTTCAAAAGCCTACTCAAAAGCTCCGGAGGAAGGAACTGCAGCCCCATTCTTACACTATTGCACTCTGCTTCACTACTTTTGCACTACCGCTGCCTCCACTACTTCCATTACCCTCTCTCCCCCATGAGTAACCCTGAAGCCCAAGCCTACAGCCCCAAAAACTTAACAC